TGTCCCCAGCTTTCGTCTCTAATCTCTTTCTTTTCCAGCCTCCCACCCAATCCTCTCAGGAACCCTTTCAGTGCGCTCCTGGCTGATGAGTCAGGAGCACTTGGTTGGCATGCGGGTCGCGACACCAAATATGGAGTTGCTTATGTATCCCAGCTTCTTCAGGTGGCTGTGAACGCTTGAATAATGGATGTTCAATGTTGCTGCAATCTCTCATGTCGTGTAACCTGGGTTTGATTCGGTTAATGCCTTTATTTTGTCGTCATCAACCTCGGTGGGCCTCCCTGACCGAGGAGCCTGTTGAAATAAAAATCACCAGCATGGAATTTCGTGAACCATCGTTGGCACTGACGTTCTTGTAGAGCACTGTCACCGTAAACTTTATGCAACTTTTCACAAGCTGGACGAGCGTTCTTCCCTTTATGGAAGTATAACAGTAAAATATGGCGAAAATGCAGTTTGGTCTTCCATCTTCAACTTGTAAAATCTCCAAAACTCAACCAAATCGCCCAATTTTTTTTAGAATGACGCTAGAACTGTCAGCTGTCAAATGACATAGCAATAACATAGATGCGAATGACTGTAGAACTTCCAAAAATGAACTAGTGCCATCTGTTGCAAACATGCGTCATGACTTTTCCGACAACCCAATATTACATTCTGAAAAGGGCTTTAAGTACCAGTATGTAAGCCTGGAGTTCCCTATGGGGAAGTCTAGCTTGGTAGGATCAGTTGGCTTGAAACAATAAAGCCAATACCTGAGTAAAGCAAATCCAAGAGGGGGAGAGAGAGAGTTAGAGAGCAAGTGAGGAGAGATTGGACCCCATGCTTCTTTTAGTTTGGTTATATGTTAATAATAATTTCTTTTTTAGGCTAGTTCACACTTAGTTCCTATTACTTAAAACCAAAGAGTCCAAGCCAATTAACTAATGTGATTTTATACTGTAATAAGAGGTATAAGGAAAGGAACAGGTGCTATGAAAAAGAATAAGAAGGTGGGGAAGACTTCTAAAAGTGCACCATGTAAGAGGAGATCTAACAAATAAACAGATGCCAGCCTGGAGCAGAGCTGAAGGGGAAGTTTACCACCTGCCTCCTTCCACCCCACCCTATCCCCAACATGAAATACGTGTGCTCTAAACACGCAGGGTGGGGAAAGGTTTTCCTAGAAAGGGCCCTAGTGTAGGGGTAAGGGCTAGAGGTCTAGGCAGAACAGGTCCTGAGATGTCTATGGACCCACCCAACAGATCTGAAAGGTTAAAGAAAAAGGAGCACCATTCAGGAAGAAAATATACTAAAATATTTAACCCTGTAGTAAAGTTGTTTTGTTTTGTTTTTTTAACTTTGCTAATGATAGGGACCTGGAGCTTGCTGACTCCCCGGCCATACATCCTAAAGAGAGATACTTTCCCTTCCATAAAACCTGCTAATTACACAGTATCCCAGGAGTGTCCTCCCATTTAGAGGCGGTTTTGGATAAAAATAAGCAATTTCAACAGAAAACCAGCATAGCTGCCTACACTAATCAACATATTCTACATTCATTAAAATGAATGACCAGCCAAGGTTTACCATATATTTGAGAAAAATTCTATAGCATGAAAAAAATTATCATGAAAGCACAACTGACTACAGAGAAAACAAAAGTTAATGAAAGACAAAAAACAACTTTTAACCAGTTCAATTTAACATCCTCAGAAATAATATTCAGGTACAAATTGTAGACATACAGGAAGAACATGAAGTTCTGAAGAAAAAATAAAATAAAAACAATCAGAGAACAACAGAAAAATGTGGGAGATTAAAAATATGATTGCCAAAAATGGAAAATCCAGTGTAAGGACTAAATGATGGAATGGCTAGCATAAGAAACCGGACAGTGGCCTGAGAAACACAGTCAGGGAAATCCACCCAAACAGAAAATATGAAAAATACCAGAGAAAAGTTAAGAGATGCTGAACATATTAACAGAAGATACAATATATAGCTGACAGACATTTCAGGGGAAAGAACAGAGGAAATAAAGAAATACATAATAGAAAACTTCCCAGAGTTGAAAGAAACAATTCCTAGAATTGAAAGAGTCAACCAATTGCCAAGTGATAGGAACAAAAAACAAAACAAAAACTCAGATACATCCTGGTAAAATAACATTTTTTAAAGTTTAAAACCTTCAGAGGAGAAAAAACAAAACAAAACAGATTGCCTACAAAAAAAAATAGGCTTATTTTCACATCAGAATTATCAACTACAATGGGTGCTAGAAACCACAGTGGCAAAGCCTTCAAAGGAAAAATTACTTTGGGACTAGAATATTCTAACAAATAATCAACCATGTGTCAGGGCAAAACAAAGACATCTTCAGGCATTTAAGGACGCAGATATTTTATCCCCCAATCACTGCTTCTTAAAAATTATTCAAGGATACAATCCAACAATATTACGATATTCAAGAAAGAGGAACAATAGAATCCACAACAATGCAACTAACACAGGAGTTCAATTTAAAAAAATAAAACAAAACAGTCCCAGATAGCTTTGCTGAGAAAGGTGTATATTAGTGAAAATTAGAATAGGAATCCCAATTCTTTAAGGAAAAAAAAAATGTTTTCAAAAAGTAAGAAATTTGCATTCATCAAATAGTGCAATTAAGCTACGCAATTTTGAGGCTCAGTGTCTTTCTCCTGTTAAAAAAAAAAATTAACTAGAAACTTTAGAACAAGTTGTAGAAGAACACTGCCATCCTAATATGAAGTAAAACAAACTCTGGTATCATTTTAAATAAAATTTGAGCATGATTTATAAGGTAAAAAAAAGAAGAGAGACACTTTCCTTCTAGTCGTACAGGTTCTGTCACAGAATCATATTTCCTGTTCTATGAGTCTACTTGAACTACTTGGTTCTGCAGTAAGTAATCATTTGCTAATCATTATAGTAAAATAAGTAACATTTACTTAACACTTAATATATGTCCTATTCTAAGTCCTTTAAATGTATTAGGCAGTTTAGTGCTTTTAGCAATAGCACAGTGAGGCTGTCATTTGCCCAAGGTCACACACTGGTTAGTGAACCCAGGCATTGGCTCTAGAGTCCTTGCTCCTAAACAGTGGCTACACTATTCCTCGTAACACTCTTTGTTAACTCAGAATTCTTAGAATCAGCCTATCGATCTAAATTAGGAAGGCATAATAACAATTATAAAACAGAATATAAATTATATAAAACTTAATATGTTACATATATAATAGTAAATATACATAAAATTATATGTAATTTAAAATAACATAAAAATCAGCAGGGGGAGAGAGATAATGAACTTGAGCTAAATTCCTCACACTTGGTAGCAAGTATCAAGGTTGACTTTACGGTTATACAGCAGCTGTCAATAGATACCATCTAATTATAATAACATATAATTTACATGGTAACTCAGAAAATCTGAAAACAGAAAACTTAAAGTTGATACGTTGAGAAATAGCAATATAAGCAAATTATTCAGAACTTTGGCATAGCAGAAAAGCTAAAAATAGAAAAGGAGTGGGCTGGGAAGACCTTGGTTTTTAACCATTTTAATTTTTATTAAAAGTATCATATTTTATTATGAAAAATAATTATATACCAGTATTAATAGTATCCTGTAAAGAAGGGCATAAACTTAGGAGGGCGCCTTTCAGGGCTGGCACCGTAATACAAAGGGCAGTAAGTGCTACCAGACCATAAAACCCAGTGGGGTACACAAAAAGGAACAAGGATAATATATAGCGTATTACAGAATACTCATCTTCTTTGCTGATTCTGTTTCCACATCATTGTGGACTAAATAGCCTGTCTTTGTCACATAAACTTCTAAAAGAGGCATCATTTCATTGGCTTTAGACAACCACTGAGTATCACACACTCCAATCAATCCATTACCCTGCACATTTCACGGAAAGAAAGGGCTGTCTACAGTCCCATCACTGGCAGGAGTCTACACTGGTATGAACCTTTCCAGGGTATAATTTGGAAGTCCTCACTGAAATGTAAAATAGGGCTACACTTTAACCTAACAACTTCACTTCTCAGAATCACTTCCAAATGCTCAAAGATAACTCTATATAGAGATTTTTCCATTTCGCTCTTACTGTTCATAACAGAGGAAAACGAAAAACAACCTAAAGCCCATAGGCTCATGCAGAATATTTTGTGGCCATTTAAAACATGAGCTCCATCTATATAGCGAGGGACACTTAAAAGTGTCATATGTACACACATATTGGACAGTGAGCAGTGGGCTTAAGGTGTGTGGTTCCTCCATTTATTCGATGTTTTGGTTTTTTTCAACCAGCATGTACTATTTTTATATTTTAAGAAATCAGGGCATGCCTCCATTGTGATATATATGGGGTGTTTTTTTTTAAATCCAAAAAGAAAAACTCAACGTCTTTAGATTAGTTCATTCTCAACTCTAAGGGGCGGGGGCGGGGAGGTGGGGTGGATATACAGTAAGGAGCGCTTTGCAGGCTAGGATCAGCGAAAAGGCTGGCTGGTGTCACCGGCTGGGTCGTGAACTAGGGCAAGAAAATGAGGGCACAAGAACAACTAAGGAAGAGTTGAGGAGTGAGCCCACGAGCTGCCAGGCAGTCCAGGGACAGACAGGGCGCAGGGAGGACGCGGAGAGGGAAGCGCGCCTGGGCCGTCGGACACCCAGGGAACCGGCCCGCGAGTGCACTGGGCCCTGGGCGTGCGGGAAAGCGGTCGGAGGCTCCACGACCCAAGGGGCGGAGGGCGGGCAGGGGACACAGCGTTCATCTCGGGCCGGTCTGGAGCCGGAGGCGCGACTGGCGACGCCAGTTTGGCCGGCAGAGGTGGTCAGCCCGGGGCGTCGGGGAGTCCGGGCGGCTCGCGAAGGCCCCAGGACGGGCAAGGCGCCCGGAAGGGTCGCAGCGGGGCCCGCCTGAGGCCGAGGCCGGGTGCGGGCCGGGGTCCCCGCCGCGCGCGGGGCAGGCGCCAGCTCCCCGTACCTTCCCAGGCGAGGTCGCCTCCCGGCTCCCTCTTGAGGAACTTGTACCAGAACGTGTCCGCGCGGCCCGGCTCCGCCCCGTCCTGCGCCGCCTCCTCGGGCGCCAGCTCCACCTCCCCGAGCCACAGGCCCGGCTCCTGCAGCGCCAGCGCCCCCGCGCCCGCGGCCGTGCCCGCCGGCCTCAGGCGCACGGCCCCGGCCGGCTCCCAGCGCCCCAGCTCCGGCCGCGACCCCACGACCAGCAGCTCTGGCCGGGCCCCGGCCACCGCGGGCGGCACCACCACCCCGAACCGGAACCGCATGGCGGCGGGCGGCGTGGCTCCCGCTCCCCGGCGTCCCCGCGGCCGGAGCGCGCGATGGGCGCGGCGATTGGGCGGCGGCACGAGGGGCCTGGACGCGAGAGGCCGGGGCTCCCGCGGGGACACGTGCGGGGCTGCGCCTTTTTGGGCTGCATCACGCGGCCTGGGAGTCGCGGCCTCCGCCAGGCCTGGACCTGTGCGCGCGGGCAGGGGCGAGGCGGAGCCGCGGAGCAGGGACTGGCCCCTGCCCGGCCGCCTCTTCCGGCACCGCGGCTCCACGGGGCGGCTGGGGACGCGGCGAAAGGCAGAGAAGAAAGAGAAAAACTGGGTTCGGAAAGGGAGGAAAGCCCTGCGATGGTCCAGTCGTCGTTCCAAAAGACTGTAAATTATGTCTATGAGGTTCCTAAAGAAAAAGGGAATGGCGTGTAGAAAGGCAGCCCCCAGAATAGTGAGGCTGGGGAAGATCCTGGCCCGGCTGCCCGGAGAGCCCCGGACCCGACAGGCCACTCGCTCTCCCTGGGCTCCGGTTTACCTGTGAAGCGAGGGTGTGAGACCTCGTGCAAAGACCCCGCCAGCGCTCACGGTCCTCCGATCGGTGGGAGGGGCGCCATGCCAGAGCTGACACAAAAACACTTAGTACTTTTCCGTTGTTGAGAGCAATTCGAGGCCTGAGATGACATCGGATCACTTTCTTTTTTCAAAGGAAAAAAATAAATATTTTTGGTATGTGGAAAATGGGTTTGGGGTAAATAGTTTCCAATTCCAAGGTAAAACAAAAAACTAATTCTGTGACTATAAATGTGCGACATGCATCATTTTTAAAATGGCATAAAAATAAAACCCTTTGTTTAAAATTGGCTTCCAGTAAAAGTCAGCACAATTTTTTTCCACTTAAAAAACATTTTTGTGTCAAGAAACAGGTTTATAGCTATGCGATCAAAAAAAACCCATTTACATGGGGGGGAGGGGCAGCTTTAAAATTTGTCACTGATGTGAGGTAACCAAATGCCCTGTTTACATATTTGTTACTTTTTGGTTCTTTAATAAAATTGTTCTCCTGTTCTTACATTTGTATATTCATCAACTTTTAACATAACCTCTTATATGACCAAAAGACACACAAAGGCACATTTTTACTGGTATTGGAAAGCTTATGAATAGTGTGGGAAGGAGCCAAAATATTAGGCATGCAGAATGTGGTAAGTAAAACAAAAAGACGTACAAAAATGGAAACCATCCACACTCAGTCTTTCTGTGGCACAATTAGTAAACTAATAATATGTCTTACTCTTAAATATTCATATTCCACTCAGTGTTTGGTTGGTTGCTAAGCTTGAGGGTCAACACAAAGAAAAACGTGAAGACAGCAGGGCTGGCCAAACACAGCTGATTCATTAGCAAAGCAGACATAAAATCACAGTGGCATGTGAGTCTGTTTATTCCCACTGCTCTTACAGAATATTCTTAGACTAATTTTAGGAAATTGAGTCATTTGTCCATGCAAGGACCCTGGGAGCTGACAATTCAGGGCTTCCTTGTGTTCTACCATGCTGCCTGTGTTATAGACTTTTCAAATGGCCTTTATGTCCACCAGCTCTTCCAAAGCGAGTACTGTCCATCGTCAGCCTAAATAAAGAGGTAAACTGAGGCAAGCTCAAACTTGTCAAAACGATGAGTTTATTCAGGAATAGCGGGGAAATTGCAATTCAGGAAATGCAAACTGTAGCAAGCTACAGGCCAGTCCGCTAAGGTTTTGGGCAGGGTGGGCTGTATTTATGGGAAGGGAATGGAAAGCGGGAAGAGTTCATTTAGACTGTCAAAATAAAAAACAGAGACCAGCTTTGACAGTCCAGTCAAACAAACAAAACTCAATTCAGCTTATTTTGCGAGATCAACCGGACCTGGGTCAGTTGTTGTTCATGTCTCCGGAAACCATAAGCAAAATTTCCACTTTAGATTGAAATTCTTGCACACCATTCTGTAGATAAAACAAGAACAAAAAAAGAAAGAAAACTATGTTTTCTCAACAGATATTATTTCTCCTCCCTCGTCATAAAGAAGTCGAGTAATTTTAACAGCCAGAAGTACCCCCTGAAGCCCCTAAACAAAATATGTAACACTTTACTTTAACGTATGGATTTAAATATTATACAGATGTGATGGCTACATCGTGCACCAAGTAAACTGCAACTAGAAAGAAGAGCAAGATCAAAGTCTAGACCAGCGGTTCTCAACCTGTGGGTCGCGACCCCTTTGGGGGTTGAACGACCCTTTCACAGGGGTCGCCTAAGACCATCGGAAAACAAAAAGATATTTACGTGATGATTCATAACAGTAGCAAAATTACAGTTATAGAGTAGC